GAATCTCACTGGTCCAAGTATCAATGGAAGTCAAATATTGATTGCATGGGAATGTCTTCAGTTCATTCCCCCCCCAATAACATTCTCTTCTTGGAATGACTTGGAATGAATATCTGTCTACTTTCTAGGAAAGAAAACCATCTCTTGGTTTTTCAGGTGGTGGATATTCTGTGGAGTGACCCGATGGCGCAGGAGGGCTGCAGGGCTAACTCTGTCCGAGGAGGTGGCTGTTACTTTGGGCCGAATGTGACCGAACAACTGCTGCAGAAACACAACCTGCAGTTTCTGATCCGTTCTCACGAGTGCAAACCCGAAGGCTATGAGTTCTGCCACAACCGCAAGGTGGGTGGACCCTCTGCGGCATCACAGGCTTACACGGCACAAGCATGGTCCTTAGGCCTTTTCTCAGGTCACAGGGAACCAAGGCTCTTGGGTTCTAACAATCTCATAATGTCTTGTATGTGTGCCCTGCTTGCTCAAAGAAACTAGGTTCTTGCTTTTTTTTTCCTGGTGGGGAGTTGGGGGGGTGAGGGATGGGAAGGTTAGCTGATCTTTCTTTAACATGCCAATACACTTTATGCAGATAATAAATTTATATTTATAGCTAGAAAAATATGGTAATAAATTAATATTTATAGTTAGAAAAAATATGTTGGGCGCTTCCCACGAGGAATGCTTCTGGGTGTGTGGAACCAGTTGATGCTGTAATGTTCAAACTCTGAAGATTGACGAGTGGAGTGTCCTTCATTATCAACCATGGATTAAGATCATTTGAGCTTCAATTGCCCTTTTCATTTCTTTGCTCATGACTTTTGTAGCCTCTTTAAAAACTCAGAATTTGATTGAGGCCACCATGACCGATGCCTTGAGATTAAGGTAGATACGATCCCATTGCATGTCTGGCAATATGGCCCAAAGTTTGCCACCCACACCTCTATTCGTTAAGTTGGATGGTTTCGTGTTAGGTTTCAAGGGGCCCTAGGATTGTCTCACTAAGTTTTCAGACTCTGCAAATCCTACAGTATTTGCCCAACATCACGCCAGGTTATGGAGCTCTGGTGATGCTGTGGGAAAAGCTGCCAACTGCAAGGTGGTTGGCATTTCAAACCCACCAGCCACTCCTCAGGAAAGATGAGACTGACTGTTCCCATAAAGAATGATCGCTTTGGAAAATGCTATGTAATCTCACCGTGAGTCAGAATCAATTCAGTGACAGTGGACTTTTCTTAATGCTAAGTTAGGGCAGCATTTCTCAAGCAGTGTTCCCCAGAATAAAAGATTTTTGTGTGGAAGAAAAAGGTTTATTATCAACTAATGTAAGAAATGCTTTGTTTAATAGTATCTTAGTTGTCTAAAGCAAAAACTCACTGTCATTAAATTGATTCCTACTCATGGTGACCCTATAGGATAGGGTAGAACTGCCCCTGTGGAGTTCTGAGACTGTAACTCTTTATAGGAGTACAAAGCCTTGTCTTTCTCCCTCAGAGCTTTGCAGTTAGCATCCCCAACACGTAACCACTATACCACCAGGGCTCCTAGCCTACTCTAATAGAGATTCCACAGTGTGTGGCTGTGACCAATAAATTAATAATATCACAATGTAGGATGCTGGAAGTCCAAATCAGGGCCTAGCTCTAGAGCAAGGCTTTTATTCTCTGCTGGCTTGGGTGGAAGGCCCTTGTTTCCTGTCAACATCTGTGAGCTAGAGACCCAGTATTCTTTGGAGTTTTCCATGTGCCTTGACATCAGTCTTCCCCTTTGCGTCCCCATAGCACAGGGACCCTGGGTCAAAAGGACCCTCCGTTCTGAGCTCTTCTTTCTTTGTGGTAGTCAAGCTCCTCCTCCTTTGCACCTCTCTCTCCCTTTATCTTGTAAGAGCAAAGGTGATGCAGCGGTCCCACCTTAGAGAGACTCCCTGGCCTTGCATCCCCTCCTAATCCCTTTCCAACTGATAGCTGATGAGATCACACCCCATGTGGGGTGACTGCGTCATCCTACCACTGGCAAACCGCGGAGAAGCATAACTCAAACAAGCTGGCATGTATCTGGGGGAAATACAATTCAGTCCATGAGGGCCAGGGACAAGGGGGCCCTTGAATGGTGTGCGTTTTGGTGAATCTGTAGATTGCATTG